CAGTCGGCTAAACACTGGACAGCTAACTGCAAGTTCAGTGGTTCAAACTCACGAGGTAGTCTGCAGCAAACAGGCTATCCACGCCGTAAGGATGTACAGCCTCGGCGAGCCCAAGATCGCTCTGAGTTGGAATCTACTCGACGGCAGAGACACTCTGACTGCATAGTCCACAAAATTTCTTTCTGCCCTTATAATATAAATAATTATATTGTAACCTAATTTCATATACAATACTGCCTTATATACTCAAAATTACACAAGTCCAACTCTAAATCTGGGCACCTGTGTCTTAAATGAAAAACTCCTTTTGTTGTTGTTCTCCTATAAGTGTAAATGCTTTCTTCTGGTGCACAACTACAGAACGATAATACAGTTTGTATCGAGCTTTCCTTGTGGTTTTTAAGGGAAGCTTGCTTAAAGCTTAACTTTAAGTTTAGTAAATATCATAAAGAGAATTTTGTTCGTAATAATAAAACATGCCAAACAAATCCACCTGCTCATTCGTAGTATTGGAAGAGTCGATTTCCTGATCCTACGCAGGGAAGAAACCTAGACAGTGTTCAGAACCTGCCTCTAACGTATCAGCAACTCTGAATTCATTGACTTTTACTTTAAAAAATTGAGGCACATCATTAGTTGTATATATAAGAAAGAGATAAAATCATTTGCCACCAAGTTGGTTCCAACTCACACCAATTCTGCATGTCGTGGGAGAACTGCTCCCTAGGGGGTTCTTGGATCTAATACTTACAGAAGCAGAGTGGCAGACCTTTCTTCCTTAGTGCCACTGGGTGGGTGCCAACTGCCAAAGTGTACCACCCAGAGGCCTAGTTGTATATAAACCATAAAACCAAACTCACTGCCAGTGAGTCGATGCCAACTCATAGTGACAACCTTTTGGGACAGGATCAAACTGCCCCTGCTGGTTTCTGGGACTAATTCTTGATGGGAACAAAAAGCGGCCTCTTTCTCCTGAGGAGTGGCTGGTGGTTTCAAATTGCTGGCTTTTCAGTTAGCCACCCAATGCTTCACCAAGAAGCCACCTGGCTCCAGTGTGTCTAAAACAGCGCGATGTAAACACAAAGAGAAGCATATTTGCATAATAATGAACAAGATCCGCCCAAGATAACCTTTAATGAATATCAAAGTAGCAAAAACAAAGCTGCCCATTACAAACAAAGAAGCCATGGAATCCCTACTACTTGGCACAATGATCATAGCCTATTGAGAACATCTTCATCATCCCCAAAGAAACTCTCTGCCCTTAAGCCATCATGCATCCCCATGCTTCCTCCCAGCTCCTTATCCCCGCCAGCTCTAAGGCAACCAGGAATTGCAGTATTTTCTAAGGAGTCTTGGTTTCTGAGTCAAAATCCAGTGGCCAGCACCTCACCCCACCACCATTGCATTTGATGAAGATGATGGTTTTAAACAATCTTGTTGAGCACGTTTTCAATAGAAAGTCAATAGGATATCTGTGCTTTAAATAATATGAAAAAAATTTAATGACTCAGTGAAACATAGTACAAAAAGTGCATCGAAGAAGGAATGCATGAGACATAGAAGGAAAAGAAATATTGAATTTATAGGAACTTCTAAAATGGCTCACCTTATCTATAATGATTCAAGAGAAAGAGGAGCCTTTCTACTCCAGTAAAGAGTGACAGTCTCAGAAACCCACAGGGGCAGTTCTACCCTGCCCTGTAGGGGCTACATTGACTGGAAGGCAGTGAGGTATTTTTTTGTTTTTAATTCTATTCAAATCGTGTTTCACTAAAGTATATGTGTACTTAAATCTAGATAGGCAGTACAGGGTACCATTTAGTCCTTGTGTGGTAGTGTATTAATCCGAATGGGCAGGGATTCCCTTCTTTTAAACTGAGCAGATAGTCACGTATTTCTAAAGCAGTAAGCCCTTTTGTAACACTAGCCTTGACTCACTCGCACTAAGCCTTGAGTCCTGGCATTTCAATGAGAACTCGTAGCCACAGTCAGATGGGCATTTATTGGGTAGGCAGTTTATTAAATATCTTTTTTCTCTATTGACTTCCACTGTGGAGAAATGAGGCAGCAAACTTATCCATTAAAACTTTGCAGAGTTTTGTTTTTTGTTTTTTCAATGCTTTTAAAGTACAATTTTGAATTGCAAGTGCTATTTAATATTACCCCATATCAGGGAAGGCTGAAAATGTAACAAAAATAATGTTTTTACCAAAAGTAGGATGAAATCTTTGTGGAACAACCATACAATTATCCTCTGTTTCACTTCAAAAATCAGTCCCATTGTCAACGGTAACTGGATCACATGTATGCCATCAGAGAAAAGAGTTGACTGGTGTCTGTAACATGTAGGACGGAGTCATGGAAGGAGAATCTTTGCTTTGCAGTTAGAGTTACTAATAGTGTAGTGGGTTCTGTGCTGATAAGTGACGGGTCAGCAGTTTGAAACCATGGTCCAGCCACTTCTCAGGAGCCCGGTGAGGTTTTCTCCTCCCATAAAGATTCACGGGTTCAGAAACCCACAGGGTTGTAAGCTTCCAAAGAAGAAAAATCGAAGTCCGTGTTGTAATTTTTAAAAAGATATTAATTCAGCACGAGAGAGAGAAGTCGAAGAAACTGGGAATGATAGAAGTCCGATAAAAGATTTCTCAGATTTTTCCATAGTTGGCTGAAGAAAGAGACTGGGATAGGAAAGTGTATGATGATAGATGCAAATTATTAATGTGAAGAATTTATGATTGTGCAGGACAGCTAAATAAATGGACAGAGATTAATTTCACCTAGGGTTTTCCAGAATTATTAAAAATTAATTGACATTCTGTAAAGATGCTACTAACCTTAACCCTACCCTACATATTAATACAAACACTAAGAAGGTCCTTCTTCTATTTCATATATCAACCGTATTACTTCTTACATTATGACTGATTTATGAAGTAAAACTGAGGATAATTAAATGGTTGCAATTGTATGGCAATATTGCAAATCACTCAAAATGTAGAGGCATCAGAAGACAGACTTTCAGTTGTTAAGCCTTAGAGAACTTAAAACAAAACAGGTTAAGTGATTTTTATGAAGGAATCTGAATGTTTGCTTATAAAATGTCTCAATTCCCTCCACGCACCCTCTACCTCCAAGTAAGCAGACGCACAAACATCTGTAAAAGTATTCTTGATGAGTAAATGACAGCAGCATCATTTTACATTGTTCCGTTTGCAATAGCCACAGTTGACCACAAGGGGGCCGGCATTCTGTAGCAGCAGTTCTGTGGTCACAAGTATGTTCAGCCATCAGTCAATCCTCAGGACAGAGGAGAGCCTCTTCTTCGGAGTACAGTTTTCTTCCAGCCCCAGGTGAAGTGACCGTGGGGCTTTCACTGTTGAGTTAGCACTCCAACATTTGGGCTACTGCGCCACCAGGGCTCCTTATGCAGTTTTGTAACATAAAGTAGCGGTGACAGCGGATCTCGCTTTTCTGCAGTGTTAAGTACAATTCTTATTGAGCAGGTTAATAACGAGGTCACTGGCTTCTTCACCACTCATGGAATCTCAGAGTTGCTTCAAGATTGCAATGAGTTTTGAAGTTCTGCTTCATGAAACATAGGATTTAGAATCAGTTTCACAATACTTTTCCCATTAGTATTTATTTAGTTCCCTGTTGTCTCATTAAAATAGTGGGTTTCTGTGATCATGGGTTCTCTCAAGAGCGATTTCAGTAAATCTTTCCACTATTTGGAGTGAGCATATTGGTACAAATTGATAAAGGCTAAATATATTTTCTGAAATTTGGATTAAAACTACAAAACTTTATACCCATGCCATTTCCCCCTTATTTAAAATTGAATTATTATTGTTATTAAATGAGAGTTAATACATATATCACATCATTTCATAGTTCAATCATGTCAAGCAGAACTGTACAATTGCTACCACAATCAGTTTCCAAACATTCATTTTCTTCCTGGACCCCTTGACCTCCTTCATCTCCCTTTTGCCCTCCCCCTCTCGCCCTTACCCCTCCACACTCAAAACCCTTGAACTACTTGCTGTCCCTTTAGGTTCATCAGTTCTGGGTTTCATATACTGAAAAACAGAAATAAGAAATGCAGGGTAAAATAATTTTTTGTTAGAGTACATTTTACCATCTGAGATAATAGAGGCAGTCACATTAAATTATTGCAATTGTGGCTTTAAAATTGGTCATATATATTTTATTCCGTGACTCCAATATGTTACTTTTTTTGATAAGCATATGAGCTAATACAAAGTGTAATATCCTCAAATAATATGAGAACCACCCAATTCCTATATCTTTTTAAAAATCCTAACGAGCTTTTTATAACAGTGTATTTACTTGGCTACATGGAACCATTTAGCTTTATGTTAAAGAAAATAGAAAGTTCCATATGTTAAAAAAAGTTTGAGTCATGTTTTGTGGGTTTGGGGAAACATTCAATTCTTCAAATATGTTAATTATTAATTATGCTACACCAATTTTATTTATCCTACTGCAGAAATGTATCTGCGTAATAATGGTTTCTGTCCCTTTTGTTTTGCATAAAAAGTAAAAACGACCATTTGATACTTTGAAAATCGCTGGAATGGAAATGATTTCCAAATGTTATTTACCTTTGCAGCTGCTAGAATTGTTTTGATATCCATACATAAAATACCATTTAACTACTCCTTATCTGTAATCATTTTATATAAAATCATGATTTTATGGACTGCGAATGTTGATTCATTCATATTGCTTAACTGATATTTAATGATCCCTTTAGCTGACAGATGGACAGTGTCCATACCTACTATGCTACTGTTAAATGGAAAATTCCGTTTCTGACAAAGAAGGCTTTATGCTGGAGCACATGAATATCAGCCTCACTCTCGGTCATGTTGTAGATGCCAATCCTGAACATACTCATTGACATGTTCAGGGCCTTATTCTAAATAGCATCTTACATTGAGTCCTGATTGAATTTTTTTAATGCTTGCTTTTAGGGTATCAACTAATACCTGCGAGCACCTGTAACATAGGCCAACCCATGCCATCCCTCAAAAATTACCGTAAGTATACCTATATTATGCAGTAATATTGAACTATTATATTTAAGGCAGTTCTATTATTTTGCTAGCATAAACATACCAATGAGCAGTGAATTGTATGCTTCTAATGGTGGACCAATCCTAAAGAATATTATTATTGGAAAATGACATTTTAATGCAGCCAGAAAGGAATCTCAGCCTATTCTATTAACCCTTTCCAAATCGCAGAGTACCACTCCAACATTTTATGGAAGAAATCTAAGATGACATAAATATCAATTAGGTAAGTGATGGGAAAATGTGGATGTTTAATTTTCTCCTTCAAAATCAAACCTTCATCCAGGAGTGCAGGAAAAATTCACTGGTTTTCTTAACAATCACATAAAGCTAAGCTCTTCCACAGTGTCCTGGTGGCGTAGGGCTGTTAGCCTCAAGGTCAGCAGCTTGAACGCACTAGCTTATCCAAGGGCGACAGCTGAAGCTTTCTATTCTCGTCAAGATGGACTGACTGAGGGAAAAACAAAGGGACCGCTCAACCTCAACTCCATCCCTATCCTGTAGATTCACTCTGAGTTGGAATGGAGCCCAGGCCACGTTGTTCTGGAAGCTTTTCGACATGGTCTAGAATCTTAGGTTCCCAAACATATTTGACCTACTGTCCTTTTCAGAAGCAGAAGAAAAAACTCAGTCCCCCTTTTAATGAAAAATACTATTGCCCCTCCCCAGGATAAAGTATAGGCATCTACTTTTGCAGAGTTGGCATGAACTCACTAGCAGTGAGTTGGATCATTCCCATGGTCCCAGGAGACGGTGTTGTTTAAACACAGCGGGAGATTCTTGCAGCCTGTCAGATGTAAGACAGCTCACCGGACAGGGGCAGATGGAGAGCAAGAATATTTATTGCATACAAGTAGCTAGGAGAAAGGAACTCAAGTGATATAGGTTAAGCATTGGGCTGCTAACTGCAAGGTCAGCAGTTCAAAACCACCAGCCAGCTCCTTGGGAGAAAGACCGGGCTTTCTAACCCCGTGAACAGTTACAGTCTTGGGAACCCACAGTGGGTCATGATGAGTCAGCATTGACTCCATGGCAGTGAGAGTGTCTAGGAGAAAGATACTCTAGTGACATAGTGGTTAAGCTAACTTCAGGGTGGGCAGTTCTAAACCACCAGCCATCTCTGTGGGAGAAAAAAGAGGCTTTCCACTCCCCTAAAGAGTTTACAGTCTCAGAAATTCCCAGGGGCCCTGTGGGGTCACCATGAGTCAGGTTGCTTACGCGATGGGATGGCAGTGAGATGAGGAGCCCCGGTGGTGTCGTGAGTTACACGTTGGGTTACTGACTGCAAGGGCAGCAGTTCAAAACCACCATCCATTCCACCCAAGAAACATGAAGGTTTCTACGCTTGTCAAGATTTGCAGACTCGGAAACCCACAGGGAACCAACAGGGGCAGAGGACCTTTAGATCACTGTGAGTCAGAATCAACTCCATTGGCAATGAGCTTGAGTTCAATTTTTGAGTTTGAGTTTACAAGAAGACAGACTAACCTGGGTCCATGTAAATCTGCTTCCTTGAGCAACAGGTTTAGGGGTATTTTATAGAGAGGACTTGGGGGAAGAGGTCTTCTGGAACAGTCTGGCCTCTGAGCTAGGCCTTCTGGTTTTCCCATTGTTCTCTTCGCTTGGCGGTATAGTTCACATTCCAGCTGCAGGCATTTTGATGTGAGATCTGCCCTTTAGATTAAAAAGAGAAAGAAAAAAAATCCTGCACTGCTGTTGAGGTCATTCACACGCATAGTGTCCCTGTAGGACCAAGCAGAACTGCCTCCATGGGGAGACTGTAAATCTGAACAGAAATAAAGTGCTGACCTTGCCTTTAGGGGCCCAAGGAGCAAGCACTGCCAGCAGAACTCCTTCAGATGGAGATAGGGCAATTTGAACTTCTAAAGAGCAACAGCCCCATGCGTGCAGGATCCCAGCAGAGTTGCAAGTTTAGAACAAAAGGGAAGCCCAGGACCAGGTGCCTCGGCTACGTGCTGAGCTTCTGTGCTCTGGCTTACAGGACTTGTTGCATGAATCCAGTTCTTCAGATGGAGATGGGTCCGTCTAAACATCTCAAGAGACTAACTGCCACAGTGTGTCCCTTCATAGGGAATGCTAGCAAGATTACAAGGTGCACGCACGCTTGACCCATGCACAAGTACCAAATGAGCACAATCAGGTGCTCTCGAATTCCAGTTGTTAAAGTTATCCATAATTTTTTTAGGGTCCACATAGTCCGCAATGCCTTTGCACAGTCCATTAAACACAAGTAAATTGCTTTCTAGTATTCTCTGCTTTGAACCAAATCCATCTGAAATCAGCAATGAAATCCCTTGTTCCATGTCCTCTTCTGAATTCCCCCTGAACTTGTGGTAGCTCCCTGTGAATGTATTGCTGCAACTCAATTGTTGGGTGTTCTTAAGCAAAATTTACTTGTTTGTGATATCTACATCACCCTGCAGTTTGAGCATTCTGTTGGGTCATGTATCTTTGGATGGGTACAAATATGGACCTCTTCTATTCAGTTGGTCAGGTCCTGTCTTCCAATTTTTCTGGCACAGACTAGTGAGTGCTTCCAGCGTTTCTCCAGCTTTCTGAAACATTTCAGTGGGTATTCCATAAATTTCTGGAGGTTTGTTTTTGGCTAATGCATTCAGCACCGTTTGAACTGCTTCCTTCAGCACCATTGGTTCTTGCTCATAGGAGACCTCCTGAAATGGACTATCAACTCTTTCTTTTTGGTACACTGACTATCTATTTTTTCCATCTTCTCTTGGTGCTTCCCGCATCATTCAATATTTTGCCTATAAAAACTTTCAAAATTGCAATTCAGGGCTTGAAATGTTTCTCCAGTTCTTTCCATTTCAGAAGTGGTAAGCGTGTTCTTCCCTTTGGATTTTTTTCATTCTAGAAAGTCAATTACCTCCCCCATTCTCCAGCCAGCCCAGGGAGGGGCAATCTGGCTAGGTCCTTGATGGACAGTCCTGGTGGGGGTATGTGTCTCAGAGTCAGGAGTCAGCTGGATCAGTCAGAAGGCTGTGGCCTAATCTTGTCACCTCTTTCATGTGACAAAATATACAAGTCCCAATTATGGTCTCGTCCCTTCCTCTGTAGTCCCACTTGCAACTGTGATGTACTAATCTGTCACCAAGCATGAATTTGTGACAGTTTCCTTGGTTCCAAGACTTATTTAATTAACACCCTGACTGTGAATCCCCAGATGCCATTATGAACTCCCTAATGGCCTCTCTCATGCAGATAATATATCTGTGTCTTTGTATAGTCTTCGTCTCTTTTAAAACTTAATCAGCATTCTCCTTGAACTGTATTTGAGATTGGGACCTCTTGGAAACTAAAACTTTAAAAAAACAGTTCATTAACACTCATCTTACATGTCATACAATTCAATAATTCAGTCAAGAAGAGTTATACAATTATCACCACATTTAAGTCCAGAACATTTTCTTCTTCCTTGTACTCATTGCTAGTCGTGTAACTATTTATTTTTCTAATTGCGGCAAAACATATACACAACAAAACATCCTCCAAGTCCACAAGTGCCATCGGTTACACTCTCTGTGTTCTGCGACCATTGATAGATAGCCTTTTCTAAATTATTCCACCACCATTAACATAAACTCAGTGCCCCCAATGAACAACTCTTTCTCTTTCACCTATGGTAACCATTGGTCAAGTTTGGCTTCGTTCTTTCTTTCTTTCAAGTCGTTTTCTTGACAGATCATTCACATGTCATACACTTCTGTATTAGTCTAGGTACTTTAGAGAAACAAATCCACAGCAACTCATGTATAAGAGAGTTTTATGTAAAGAAAACGTGCATCACGAAATCATCCCAACCCAATGCCGCCCAAGCCCACAAGTCCAACATTAACCCATTTACCCAGCACCAGTCCACAAAGTCCTCCACCTGACAAAACAGAGGCAGTGACGCCCACTGCAGGAGGAAAGCTGAGTCAGTGAACGAATAAGCATCTCAGCACTAGCAGGGGTCTCCACACGGCTGCTCCAGCACGCAGGGCTGCATCGGGATAGGTTCATGTAGCTTCTCCTTGGGGATGTTTTGTAGGAAGTCAGTCTTGCAAGCTGAAGCAGGGAACTGCTAAGGCAGCTGCACCGTGGTGCGACTATCACAAAGCAAGAGACCTGAGAACTAGAAAGGCGAGGCTCACCACCCATTTATCCTTCCGCCTTTCAATTAGCCCCACATGTGATTATGGGCCAGGTTGGCACAATTAACTAACTCAACTTCCATGGTTGAATTGCTTTGTATACACATCATATCTGTTCTAGTGCTCCTTCCCCCCTCCTGCAAAACATCGTAAACAGCATAAAACACAGGGTACTTTTCATTACTGAAGCTAAGCCCTTGTTCACTTTTAAGAAGGCTTCAGAGGATATTTTTGGTTTAAGCTTTAAAGACGATCTCAGAGCCACCGTTCAGAAGTTCATCCAGCCTCTGTGGCTCCAGAAAAATCTAGATTCCATTAGAATTTGAAATTCTGTATATACTTTTGATTTAGGGTTCCAAAGAGTCACCAATCTTAGATATAATTTAAGGAGAACATTTACTAAGTCTTTAAAATACAAAGCCACAGAGACATCAATGGGATGAGGGAGGCCAGTAGCACAACTTCATAAAGGCCTCTGAGGATTCACAGTCGGGATGCTAGGCAGATAAGGTACTGGAACCAAGGAAACTGTCACTAATTCATGACAGATGGGACTACAGAAGCGGGAACAAGCCATGATTGGGACACGTAAAATGTTAGAGAGAAGGGAATACAAGATGGGCCTAGGGCCTTCAGACGAAAGCAGTCAGGGCAGGACTGATAGGGCATGATTCAGCACTATGCAGCCCCTGTAAGGTCCCCAATACAAGGATTTCCATCAAAGACACCCAGGCAAACCCCTACGCAAATCTGCCCCTCTTAGGACTAGCTGGAGAAGAGTGGAGGCAATCT